GCATCGATGATAGCCAACCATTTCTGTCGTTCTTTTCGTTTGCCACACCAAACAGTGCGATTCTTGTCAAAGTTCACCTCACCAAAACAGTGTTTAAATTCTTCACAGCAACCACATGTTTACATTTGATTGTCAGAAAGCAGCTGAACCCAGTTTCAATCTCATCGACATTCCGCTGGCTGTGAAGAGAGTATGAAATCGCAAGATTTAGCTTGTGAAGCAGATTTCAGATTAAGTGAAACCGGTAGCAAACGCTTTGCGGTATTGCTGACGATTAAGCCGACTTCGCAAACACTTCCTATTCTTTTTTGGCGCACAAAAACTTTCGAACGCCTTCCTTCCACCCGAGGCCACAGTGTGTTTAGATATTCGTTATGTTCCATAAACACCGAGCACTTGCTTCCTGTTTCATCGTTTTCCAGAACAGCGTATGTCATGACTTTATTTCTAGACGTAAATTTGATTCAGTGGGCTTTATCCTTTATACTCCAGCATTGTTTGCTTTCCAGCGACTTTAATAGCTGGTTTCGCACCAGTTGTAAATCCGTTTTCGCACGACCAGGCTGAAGGATGTACTGATAGCTAGAGCTCATTTTTTGTTATATCTATCTTGTGATGTTCCTCACGCTTCGTTACAGGATGTAAATTTCAAATTTTTTGCAGAGGTACATCAACTCTTCCACATCACCTCTTACTAGTTAGACCGACACCGTCGCTACTACTGAGCTCGAAAAAAGGACGCAAACTTCACAGCACAAGGGAGCTGCTAGGATTTCATCTTGTTCTATCCCTTATCAGCTCTTATTCAGGAGGAGATTTTCAAAGGGGTTTAAAACAACTGACAGCTCTTTCAAAAACGACCGAATGCCATCAAATTCAACACATGCAAAAATCTGTATTAAAAATGGACAAAAACAAGGGCGCGGAGCGAGCGGAAGTAAGTCGTCTTCGTGGGAAACGGATAAGGCGAAAAGAAGAAGCTTTATGAGGAAGATACGATAGTTTCGAAAAGGCAACAACGTTGGATGCATGCTTTCTTGTTTAAAACTGGATAAGTGGCTGAATACAGGACAAACTGAACAGCGCACTTCATAGGCCCTTCAGACTGAGGCTGGATGCTGCATCCGGCCTAATATAGTACTGCTGGCAGCATCAGCTGGCAAAAAAGGAATTTATTGCGCAGTGCAACAACAACATACATTTCATCTCAAAAATGAGCAATCAACTCAGCATTATGAGCGCTGCTACTGAAGTAAGAGTGAGTCAAGGAAGCTAGCATCTCCTCCCCGATCGCAGTGAATCCCCGAATGTATGTCCACGCACGGGTGCGATGCTTGTTGGTCCGCCCTTGCTGCTACTTATAGGATGAATTACGTAAACGATAAGAGATATCTCAGAGACCTGCTGCAGTTTTCCTTTCCGATCCTCAGCACCCTTCTGCAGTTGTTCAATTTCACGTCGCAGTGATGAGATTTGCAGTTTGGAGGCTTCTTTGATGATTTCATCATGCTCCTGCAAACCGCCTCTCATACATTCTTCACGCACTGAAGGCCTATGTGATTCTCGACGATTGAGTGGTGAATAGTTCCGCGTGCTGCGGTTTGGTGATCGATACTCGCGTTTGCCTTCAAACCTGCAGTAAAATTGCCAAAGTGGATATGAAGGAAACGCCCAGCTGCGTGCATCTGTTGCCGGCACAGTTTTTGATGCATTTTATTACAGCGTATTTTGAGCTGCGAAACTGAAGGAAAACATATATGGCTAAAATTGTGAGATTGTCTCCTTGCACATCAATAAGTCTGCGTGTAAGTGTGTCTACACAATTGTCCGTCCGAATCCAGGAATCAAGGAAACAAGAAGGCTGAGATCCAACGAGGGTATTTCCGATTTTTGTGCGTCTGAAAACGTAAGATCAACTTTCATGAATGCCTATGTATTCAAATGCTAAAACGTGAAAGACAAAATTGTAGAATTACTAGTACTGTTCCCAGACCAGAGACAAGCTAAATAGCTCGAGCTTTGTGAGCATGAACTTCAGTTATGCATCGATGTTTGTAGCTATAAACGATCTTTTATAAACTCCTGGGTAACATGGGAGCAAGTAACGGAAACTTAAGAATTGCTTGCATTTCCATTCAACTCGGCTGCTAGGCAAGCTAGGAAGCTAGAATTTCCAAAACTTCATTTCTCTTTCGATATAAAAGTTCCGTGCGCGGAAATGTTTTTTCATCTCGGCGATAAGTAAACTGACCAGATAGTTCTTAGATCG